CCGTCAACAACAACAACAACCACAACATCAACAACAACATCAACAACAACAACCACAACAACAACAACAACAACCGTCAACAACAACATCAACAACAACATCAACAACATCAACAACATCAACCACAACATCATCAACAACAACAACAACCGTCAACAACAACCACAACAACCGTCAACAACAACATCAACAACAACATCAACAACATCAACCACAACAACAACAACCACAACAACCGTCAACAACAACAACAACCACAACAACAACAACAACCGTCAACAACAATAACAACAACAACAACCGTCAACAACAACAACAACCGTCAACAACAACAACAACAACCACAACCGTCAACAACAACAACAACCGTCAACAACCACAACAACCGTCAACAACAACAACCACGGTGGTGGTGGTAGTTGTGATGGTGGTGATGGTTACGGTTGTGGTGGTGGTGGAGGTGATGGCGGTGTTGGTGGTTGTAGAGGTGGTGGTGGCGGTGGTTGTGGTGTTGGTGGTTGTGGTGGCAGTGGCAGTGATTGGTGGTGGTTGTGGTGTTGGTGGTGTTGGTGGTGGCGGTTGTGGTGTTGGTGGTGGTGGTTGTGGTGTTGGTGGTGGCGGCAGTGATTGGTGGTGGTGGTGGTGTTGTTGGTGTTGGTGGTTGTGGTGTTGTTGGTGTTGGTGGTGGCGGTTGTGGTGTTGGTGGTGGTGGTTGTGGTGTTGGTGGTGGCGGCAGTGATTGGTGGTGGTTGTGGTGTTGGTGGTGTTGGTGGTGGCGGTTGTGGTGTTGGTGGTGGTGGTTGTGGTGTTGGTGGTGGCGGCAGTGATTGGTGGTGGTGTGGTGTTGGTGGTGTTGGTGGTGGCGGTTGTGGTGTTGGTGGTGTTGGTGGTGGCGGTTGTGGTGTTGGTGGTGGTGGTTGTGGTGTTGGTGGTGGCGGCAGTGATTGGTGGTGGTGTGGTGTTGGTGGTGTTGGTGGTGGCGGTTGTGGTGTTGGTGGTGGTGGTTGTGGTGTTGGTGTTGGTGGTGGCGGCAGTGATTGGTGGTGGTGGTTGTGGTGTTGGTGTTGGTGGTGGCGGCAGTGATTGGTGGTGGTTGTGGTGTTGGTGTTGGTGGTGGCGGCAGTGATTGGTGGTGGTGGTTGTGGTGTTGGTGTTGGTGGAGGCGGCAGTGATTGGTGGTGGTTGTGGTGTTGGTGGTGGTGGTTGTGGTGTTGGTGTTGGTGTTAGTGATTGGTGGTGGTTGTGGTGTTGGTGGTGGTGTTGGTGTTGGTGGTGGCGGCAGTGATTGGTGGTGGTTGTGGTGTTGGTGGTGGCGGTTGCGATGTTGGTGGTGTTGGTTGTGGTGTTGGTGTTGGTGGTGGCGGCAGTGATTGGTGGTGGTTGTGGTGTTGGTGGTGGCGGTTGCGGTGTTGGTGGTGTTGGTTGTGGTGTTGGTGGTGGTGGCAGTGATTGGTGGTGGTGGTGTTGTGGGGTCTCCTCGCCACCACCTTGCGTTTGGGCTCCACGTGTAGCAGGAGGTTGTTGAGGATGTCGAGCACCATGGCAAACTGGGCAGGGTTGGTCAACACCTCCATGTCGTTGTGGATCAGCGTGAACGTGTCCACAGGCCCTGCACGCACACACACACACACACACCCAATTACTCACCCACTCACTCACTCACCCACTCACCATCTCACCCACTCACCATCTCACCCTCTCACTCCCCCACTCACTCACTCACTCACCCACCCACCCACCCACTCACTCGCCCACTCACCCACTCGCCCACTCACCCACCCACCCACTCACTCATCCACTCACCCACCCACTCACCCACCCACCCACCCACTCACTCGCCCACTCACCCACTCACTCGCCCACTCACCCACCCACTCACCCACTCACTCATCCACTCACTCACTCACCCACTCACCATCTCACCCTCTCACTCCCCCACTCCCCCACTCACTCACTCACCCACCCACCCACTCACTCGCCCACTCACCCACTCGCCCACTCACCCACCCACCCACCCACTCACCCACTCACTCATCCACTCACCCACCCACTCACTCACTCACCCACTCACTCACCCACCCGCTCACTCACCCACTCACCCACCCACTCACCCACTCACCCACTCGCCCACTCACTGATCCACTCACCCACCCACTCACCCACCCACTCACCCGCCCACTCGCCCACTCACCCACTCGCCCACTCACCCACCCACCCACTCAATCATCCACTCACCCACCCATTCACCCACTCACTCACTCACTCACCCACCCGCTCACTCACCCACTCACTCACCACACAACCACCACAACCACCACTAAATCCACAACCACCACCACCACAACCACCACCACCACCACAACCACCACCACCACAACCACCACCACCACCACCACCACCCACCACCACCACCACCCACCCTCCATGCGATTGAGAGGATCTTCTCTGGCCGTGTGGAGCAGCCCAGCTGGTGGTTGTGGTGGTTGTGGTTGTTGTGGCTGCTGCCGGTGGTGTTCCGCCAGTTGTTGTTGTTGTTGTGTGGTTGTGTCATCCTGGCTGTAGTTGACGTAGATCATCTTGCAGCTGCAACGTGACACAATCCTCTGCAGTTGAGGTGGATCGCCACCACCACCACCACCACCGCCACCACCGCCACCACCGCCACCACCGCCGGAGCCACCGCCGGCATCTGCAGCGTGGTTACCACCTGCCGGGCACAACCAACGACAACGTCACAACGGTGGTTGTGGTGGTGGTTGTGGTGGTAGTTGTGGTGGTAGTGGTTGTGGTGGTAGTGGTGGTAGTGGTGGTGTTAGTGGTGGTAGTGGGGGTTGTGGTGGTGGTGAGTGCGGTGGTGGTGGTGGTTGTTGTTGTTGGTGGTTGTGGTGGTTGTGGTGGTGTTAGTGGTGTTAGTGGTGGTGGTTGTGGTGGTTGTGGTGGTAGTGGTTGTTGTTGTGGTGTTAGTGTTAGTGGTGATGATGATGGTGGTGGTGGTGATGGTGGTAGTGGTTGTTGTTGTGGTGGTTGTGGTAGTGGTGGTTGGTGTGGTGGTTGTGGTTGTGTTAGTGGTGGTTGTGGTGGTAGTGGTGGTTGTGGTAGTGGTTGTTGTGGTGGTAGTGGTGGTTGTGGTTGTTGTGGTGGTGGTTGTGGTGATTGTTGTGGTGGTGGTAGTAGTGTTAGTGGTGGTTGTTGTGGTAGTGGTTGTTATTGTGGTGGTTGTGATGGTTGTGGTAGTGGTGTTAGTGTTAGTAGTGGTGGTTGTTGTGGTGGTGGTTGTGGTGGTGGTAGTGGTGGTGGTTGTGGTGGTTGTGATGGTAGTGGTGGTAGTGATGTTAGTGGTGGTTGTTGTGGTAGTGGTTGTTGTTGTGGTAGTGGTGTTAGTGGTGGTAGTGGTGGTTGTTGTGGCAGTGGTGGTTGTGGTGGTGGTAGTGGTGGTAGTGGTGGTAGTGGTAGTGGTGGTTGTTGTGGTTGTGGTGGTAGTGTTAGTGGTTGTTGTAGTGGTTGTGGTGGTGGTTGTGGTGGTTGTTGTGGTGGGGGTTGTGGTGGTGATGGTGGTGGTAGTGGTGGTAGTGGTGGTTGTGGTAGTGGTTGTTGTAGTGGTGGTGTTAGTGCTGGTAGTGGTGGTTGTGGTGGTGGTGATGGTGGTGGTAGTGGTGGTTGTTGTGTTAGTGGTGGTAGTGGTGGAAGTGGTTGTTGTTGTTGTGGTGGTTGTGGGAGTGTTGGTGGTGGTTGTGGTGGTTGTGGTGGTGGTAGTGGTGGTGGTGATGGTAGTGGTGGTTGTGGTGGTTGTGGTGTTAGTTGTGGTGGTGGTTGTGGTGGTAGTAGTGATTGTTGTGGTGGTGGTTGTGGTAGTGTTAGTGGTGGTAGTGTTAGTGGTGGTAGTGGTGGTGGTGGTAGTGGTGGTTGTTGTGGTAGTGGTGGTTGTGGTGTTAGTTGTGGTGGTGTTAGTGGTTGTTGTGGTTGTTGTTGTGGTTGTGGTGGTAGTGTTAGTGGTGGTAGTGTTAGTGGTGGTTGTTATGGTGGTGTTGGTTGTGGTTGTAGTTGTTGTGGTTGTTGTGGTGGTTGTGGTTGTTGTGGTGGTTGTGGTGGTGTTTGTGGTTGTTGTTGTGGTTGTTGTGGTGTTAGTTGTTGTGGTGGTGGTTGTGGTTGTTGTTGTTGTTGTGGTTGTTGTGGTGTTAGTGGTGGTTGTTGTGTTAGTAGTGGTTGTTGTTGTGGTTGTTGTTGTTGTGGTGTTAGTGGTGGTTGTTGTGTTAGTAGTGGTTGTAGTTGTTGTTGTGGTTGTTGTTGTTGTTCTGACCGCTGGACACTGAGACAAGACCTCCCACTGAGTGACTGTTGTGGTGGTGGGGGTTGTTGTGGTTGTTGTTGTGTTAGTTGTTGTGTTAGTTGTTGTTGTTGTTGTAGTTGTTGTGGTTGTTGTTGTTGTTCTGACCGCTGGACACTGAGACAAGACCTCCCACTGAGTGACTGTTGTGGTGGTAGTGGTAGTGGTTGTTGTGTTAGTGGTTGTTGTTGTGTTAGTTGTTGTTGTTGTGGTTGTTGTTGTTTTAGTTGTTGTTGTGGTTGTTGTGGTTGTAGTTGTTGTTGTTGTTGTTCTGACCGCTGGACACTGAGACAAGACCTCCCACTGAGTGACCGTGGTGGTGGTGGTGTTAGTGGTTGTTGTTGTGTTAGTAGTTGTTGTGGTGGTTGTAGTTGTAGTTGTTGTGGTGGTTGTAGTTGTTGTTGTTGTGGTTCTGACCGCTGGACACTGAGACAAGACCTCCCACTGAGTGACCGTGGTGGTGGTGGTGTTAGTGGTTGTTGTTGTGTTAGTAGTTGTTGTGGTGGTTGTTGTGGTGGTGGTTGTGGTTGTTGTAGTTGTGGTGGTTGTGGTTGTTGTTGTGGTGGTGTTCTGACCGCTGGACACTGAGACAAGACCTCCCACTGAGTGACCATTGTGGTGGTAGTGGTAGTGGTGGTTGTTGTTGTGGTGGTTGTGGTTGTTTTGGTGGTGGTGGTTGTGGTGGTGGTTGTAGTTGTTGTAGTTGTTGTGGTTGTTGTTGTTGTGGTTGTTGTTGTGGTTCTGACCGCTGGACACTGAGACAAGACCTCCCACTGAGTGACCATTGTGGTGGTAGTGGTAGTGGTGGTTGTTGTTGTGGTGGTTGTGGTTGTTTTGGTGGTGGTGGTTGTGGTGGTGGTTGTAGTTGTTGTGGTGGTTGTTGTGGTTGTTGTTGTGGTTCTGACCGCTGGACACTGAGACAAGACCTCCCACTGAGTGACTGTTATGGTTGTTGTTGTTGTGGTGGTTGTGGTGGTGTTAGTTGTCGTTGTGTTGGTGGTGGTTGTGGTGGTGGTTGTAGTTGTTGTGGTGGTTGTTGTGGTTGTTGTTGTGGTTCTGACCGCTGGACACTGAGACAAGACCTCCCACTGAGTGACTGTTGTGGTGGTGTTGGTGGTTGTGGTGGTGTTAGTTGTTGTTGTGTTAGTTGTTGTTATTGTTGTTGTGGTTGTGGTTGTTGTTGTGGTTCTGACCGCTGGACACTGAGACAAGACCTCCCACTGAGTGACTGTTGTGGTGGTGTTGGTGGTTGTGGTGGTGTTAGTTGTTGTTGTGTTGGTGGTGGTTGTGGTGGTGGTTGTAGTTGTTGTGGTGGTTGTTGTGGTTGTTGTTGTGGTTCTGACCGCTGGACACTGAGACAAGACCTCCCACTGAGTGACCGCCCTCCATGAGTTCCGTCACAGAATCCACACTGCCTCCTCGCTCCTCCTGAATGCTGCTCACCTACACTCACCACGCACAACAGCACGACTCACCACTACTACTCACCACTACTACTCACCACTACTACTCACCACTACTCACCTACACTCACCACTACTACTCACCACGCACAACAGCACGACTCACCACTACTACTCACCTACACTCATCACTACTACTCACCACTACTACTCACCACTACTACTCACCTACACTCACAACCACCTACACTCACCACTACTACTCACCACGCACAACAGCACGACTCACCACTACTACTCAACACTACTACTCACCACTACTACTCACCTACACTCACCACGCACAACAGCACGACTCACCACTACTACTCACCACCACTACTCACCTACACTCACCACGCACCACATTACACTACTCACCACTACTACTCACCACTACTACTCACCACGCACAACACTACTACTCACCACTACTACTCACCACTACTACTACTCACCACTACTACTCACCTACACTCACCACTACTCACCACTACTACTCACCACTACTACTCACCACGCACAACAGTACTACTCACCACTACTACTCACCTACACTCACCACTACTACTCACCACTACTACTCACCACTACTACTCACCACTACTACTCACCTACACTCACCACGCACAACAGCACGACTCACCACTACTACTCACCACTACTACTCACCACTACTACTCACCACTACTCACCTACACTCACCACGCACAACAGCACGACTCACCACTACTACTCACCTACACTCACCACGCACAACAGCACGACTCACCACTACTACTCACCACTACTACTCACCTACACTCACCACTACTCACCTACACTCACCACGCACAACAGCACGACTCACCACTACTACTCACCTACACTCACCACTACTACTCACCTACACTCACCACGCACAACAGCACGACTCACCACTACTACTCACCACTACTACTCACCTACACTCACCACTACTCACCTACACTCACCACGCACAACAGCACGACTCACCACTACTACTCACCTACACTCACCACTACTACTCACCTACACTCACCACGCACAACAGCACGACTCACCACTACTACTCACCACTAATACTCACCTACACTCACCACTACTCACCTACACTCACCACGCACAACAGCACGACTCACCACTACTACTCACCACTACTACTCACCACTACTACTCACCACTACTACTCACCTACACTCACCACGCACAACAGCACGACTCACCACTACTACTCACCACTACTCACCACTACTCACCTACACTCACCACTACTCACCTACACTCACCACGCACACCATCACTACTCACCACTACTACTCACCTAGACTCACCACGCACAACATTACACTACTCACCACTACTACTCACCTAGACTCACCACGCACAACATTACACTACTACTACTCACCACCACTACTACTCACCACTACTACTCACCACTACTACTCACCACTACTACTCACCACGCACAACACTACTACTCACCACCACCACTACTACTCACCACTACTCACCACTACTACTCACCTACACTCACCACGCACAACACTACTACTCACCACTACTACTCACCACTACTACTCACCTACACTCACCACGCACAACAGCACTACTCACCACTACTCACCACTACTCACCTACACTCACCACTACTACTCACCACTACTCACCACTACTACTCACCACTACTACTCACCACTACTACTCACCACTACTACTCACCACTACTACTCACCATGACTACTCACCACCACTACTACTCACCTACACTCACCACGCACCACATTACACTACTCACCACTACTACTCACCACTACTACTCACCACTACTACTCACCACTACTACTCACCACTACTACTCACCACCACTACTCACCACTACTACTCACCACTACTACTCACCACCACTACTCACCACTACTACTCACCACTACTACTCACCACTACTACTCACCACCACTACTCAACACTACTACTCACCACTACTACTCACCACGCACACCAACACTACTCACCTACACTCACCACTACTCACCTACACTCACCACTACTACTCACCATTACTACTCACCACCACTACTACTCACCACCACTACTACTCACCTATACTCACCACTACTACTCACCACACACACCACCACTACTCACCACTACTACTCACCACCACTACTACTCACCTACACTCACCACTACTACTCACCACACACACCACCACTACTCACCACTACTACTCACCACCACTACTACTCACCTACACTCACCACTACTACTCACCACCACTACTACTCACCATCACTACTCACCACTACTACTCACCACTACAACTCACCTACACTCACCACGCACACCATCACTACTACTCACCACCACTACTCACCACTACTACTCACCTACACTACTCACCACTACTACTCACCACGCACACCACCACTACTCACCACTATTCACCACCACTCACCACTACTCACCACCACTCACCATTACACACCTACACTCACCACCACTCACCATTACACACCACCACTCACCATTACACACCTACACTCACCACCACTCACCATTACTCACCACTACTCACCATTACTCACCATTACACACCACCACTCACCACTACTCACCACCACTCACCATTACACACCACCACTCACCACTACACACCACCACTCACCACCACTCACCACCACTCACCACTACTCACCACAACTCACCATTACACACCTACACTCACCACCACTCACCATTACACACCATTACTCACCACCACTCACCACTACACACCACCACTCACCACCACTCACCACCACTCACCACTACTCACCATTACTCACCATTACACACCACCACTCACCATTACTCACCATCACACACCACTACTCACCACCACTCACCATTACAAGCAGCACCACTACCACAACCACCACCACCACAACCACCACCACAACCACCACGACAGCCACCACCACCACCACAACAACTACTACCACCACTACTTAGGGTCAGGGTGGGGGTCAGGGTGGGGGTCAGGGTGGGTGAGGGTGGGTGGGGGTCAGGGTGGGTGGGGGTCAGGGTGGGTGGGGGTGAGGGTGGGTGGGGGTCAGGGTGGGTGGGGGTCAGGGTCAGGGTGGGGGTCAGGGTGGGGGTGTTGCCCCCCCCCCCACCTGTAGCCAGGGCTCGCTGGGCTGTTGGGCTCCGCCCCCTCCCCCCGAGGCCCCTCCCCCCAGAGTGGCAAAGTACTGCATGGAGTCGAGGGAGCAGCGCCACGTGCTCTTACAGAGCCCCGCCCCTCCCGCACGGAGACACGCCCCCCCGGCCGGCCCCGCCCCCGAGGTGGCGGAGGCCCCGCCCCCTGGCCCCGCCCCGTCCTCGCTCTCCTGCAGGAGCTCGGCGTGGGAGGCGGCCACCAACACGCAGCCGGCTGTGTCGGGGCCACGCAGCAGCACCTGGGGGGAGGGGCACGTGGGGGGGGGGGCACGTGGGGAGAGGGGCACGTGAGGAGGGGCACGTGGGGAGGGGCACGTGGGGAGGGGGAGGGGCACGTGGGGAGGGGCACGTGGGGAGGGGGTGGGGCACGTGGGGAGGGGGAGAGGCACGTGGGGAGAGGGGCACGTGGGGAGGGGGAGGGGCTCGTGGGGAGGGGGAGGGGCACGTGGGGAGGGGCACGTGGGGTGGGGGTGGGGCACGTGGGGAGGGGGAGGGGCACGTGGGGAGGGGGAGGGGCACGTGGGGAGGGGGAGGGGCACGTGGGGTGGGGGAGGGGCACGTGGGGAGGGGCACGTGGGGAGGGGGGAGGGGCACATGGGGAGGGGGAGGGGCACGTGGGGAGGGGGAGGGGCACGTGGGGAGGGGGAGGGGCTCGTGGGGGGAGGGGCACGGGGGAGGGGCTCGTGGGGAGGGGGCGGAAACGGGGGTGGAGGGGCACAGCGCAAAGGTAAAATCAAAGATCCCCCAGGTAGCCTCTAGCAGGGCTGTAGGGGCAAGTGCTGTAGTTAGTAGCGAGTAGCAGCACCTACACACACACAGACACACACCTAGACACACCTAGACACACGTACACACACACACGTACACACACACCTACACACACACAAAGATCCCCCAGGTAGCCTCTAGCAGGGCTGTAGGGGCAAGTGCTGTTAGTAGCGAGTAGCAGCACCCACACACAGACACATACACACACCTAGACACGTACACACACACACGTACACACACACACACGTACACACACACAACAACAACCGCCATTCGCCACTAAGTGGCGGTGACGTCACCACGACGCTTGTGCCAAGCTATGTGCACCCTGAGGCCACGTGAAGTGTCGAACGCCCGCTGGCAGGAGGTCACGGGGCAGACCCAGGTGCCACGGGTCGACTGACTGAGATGACTGGCTGATGCACCACCTGTGCCCCCTACTGTGCCAACCTGCTGTGCTTTAGCCACCCGGCGCTCCGCTCGCTGTTGTGAGCGTCGCTCCTCCGCCCTCCGTTGTTGTTGGAGGGCGACTGCCTTCAACTGCCCAGTAGCATCCTTCACGAGCCTCCTCCACAGAGGCCGATCTTGACACCGCTGGTACCAGTCATCGGCAAGTCCACTCAGCTCCACGTCCTCCTGTACCACATCACTCCATCTCTTCTCTAGCCCGTGCCGCGCCCGCTTAGCCCCCTCCATCCGGCCAAACAAAAGCTGTTTCGGCATGCGGTGGCTGGGCATGCGGGCTACATGACCCAGCCATCGCAGCCTTGCCTGCCGGAGGAGCTCACCGATGGGACCCTGCCCAGATCTTTCAAGGATTTGTGAGCTCCTCACACAATCCAGTCTGGTTAAACCCAGGATGGATCGTAGGCAGGCCAGCCTAAATGTTTCTAACCGGCGAAGATGTTCCATTAGGGGGGTCCACGTTTCGCAAGCGTAGAGAAGGGAGGGAATGACCGTGGCCGAGAAGACCTGAAGCTTAGTGCGGAGCGACAGACCAGGTAGCTTCCACACAGCGTTACGCAACCGATGAAAAGATATTGCCGCTCGACTGATTCGGAGTGAGACCTCTGCTGTTAAACTGGAGCCAGTCATAAGCACACTGCCCAGGTATGGGAAACTCTCCACTCTCTCCACAACTGCCCCATCACCGATTGGGAGTTGTGGGGGTGGAGTGTCCGATGGTACAAAATACCCAGGCAGGTGCTTAGTTTTGGTGGGGCTGATGGTAAGGCCCCACCTCTTAGTGGCACGCTCCAGTCTCAGCAGCAGCGTCTCCAACTCCTCCTCTGACTGAGCAGCTATTACCAAGTCATCAGCATACATAACGTGGTTGAGCAATAGGGAGCCATCCCTTGACCGCACCCGGGCATCGATTAGCCTCCCATTATATCTGTACCATATGGAGATTCCCCCGGTACAGCTATTGAAGGCTTCACGAACTACGTGGTCAAAATAGATGTTAAATAATGTGGGAGCCAGAGGACATCCCTGTCGCACCCCAAGGTGTACAGGGAATGGCTCTGACTCCCGGCCACGTAGTTTTACCCGGGCCCGCTCACCATCATGAAGGTCCTTAATGATCGTGAGCAGAGGGTCAGGTACTCCAAAAGCACGAAGAACGACCCAGAGCCCAGGCCTACTGATGGTATCATAGGCCTTGACCAGGTCAATAAAGCAGAGATGTAGGTCTTGTTGGAATTCCCTACACCTCTGCTGTAGCAGACGGACAGAAAATATGGCATCTGTGCAGGACCGCCCTTTCCTGAAACCACCTCCTCGCGGTGCCGGACGGGCAACTCTGTCGTGGACAGCGCTGTGGGGGGAGATCCAATTTTGATTGGCTCCTCCCCTCATGGCATATGTGTCCACCACAGGGGCTAAACGGGGGCTCTGGACGGGTGCGAGGGGCTGGTAACCCCTCCACCTTCAATTAATTACCACGAAACTACACACACACACACACGTACACACACACACGTACACACACACCTACACACACAGACAAAGATCCCCCAGGTAGCCTCTAGCAGGGCTGTAGGGGCAAGTGCTGTTAGTAGCGAGTAGCAGCACCTACACACACACAGACAAAGATCCCCCAGGTAGCCTATAGCAGACTGTAGGGGCAAGTGCTGTTAGTAGCGAGTAGCAGCACCTACACACACACACACACCTAGACACACACCTAGACAAACGTACACACACGTACACACACATACACGTACACACACACACGTACACACACGTACACACACACATACACACAAAACAAAGATCCCCGATATAGCCTTAACAGACTGTAGGGGCAAGTGCTGTTAGCGAGCACCTATGAAGGCCGGAACGGTACACGAGGGGGTGGGTGGCCAGCACCACACTCGACCGCCTTTGTCTCACGTACACACACGCACACAAACGTACAAACACACACACGCACACACACGCACACACACGCACACACACACACACGTACACACGTACACACACACGTACACACGTACACACACACACGTACACACACACACGTACACACAACAACAACAACCGCCATTCGCCACTAAGTGGCGGTGACGTCACCACGACGCTTGTGCCAGGCCATGTGCACCTGGAGGCCACGTGAAGTACACACACACACACGTACACACACACACAGACACACACACACGTACACACACACACGTACACACACACACGTACACACACACACGTACACACGTACACACACACACACGTACACACGCGTACACACACACGCACACACACACACACACGTACACACACACACACGTACACACACACACGTACACACACACACACGTACACACGCGCACATACACGCGTACACACACGTACACACACACACACACACGTACACGTAAACACACACGTACACACACACACACGTACTACACACACACACGTACACACACACACACGTGGGCGTGTACCTGTGAGTTGACCAGCTGTATGAGCCAATGGCGGGGGGGCCCCGCGACCCCGACCCCGCCCCCAGCCACGCCCCCGGCCACGCCCCCTCCCCCCGGTAGAGGGGCGCCACCGCCGCCGGCCCCTCCCCCGGGTGGCTCCGCCTCCTCGGAGAAGACGACGAAGCGGTCCGTCTCCCGTAGCAACCGCTCCAACATGGACGCCGCAGCTCCCGCTGCCATGGCAACGGGGGGGAGGGGGTTGGGGATTGAGGGCTAGGCGCACTGTACCGTCTAGACGCACTGTACCGTCTACGCGCACTGTACCGTCTATGCGCACTGTACCGTCTACGCACACTGTACCATCTACGCACACTGTACCGTCTACGCGGACTGTACCGTCTACGCGGACTGTACCGTCTACGCACACTGTACCGCCTACGCGTACTGTACCGTTGAGGTGAACTGTACCGTCTAGGTGCACTGTACCCTGTACACGCACTGTACCGTGTTCACGTACTGTACCCATTTTGCACACTGTACCATCTCTAGCACTGTACCTCTATGGGTCTCTATGGGTCTCTGTGGGTGTCTGTGGGTGTCTGTGGGTGTCTGTGTGTCTCTGTGAGTCTCTGTGGGTCTCTGTGGGTCTCTGTGAGTCTCTGTGGGTCTCTGTGTGTCTCTGTGAGTCTCTGTGGGTCTCTGTGGGTCTCTGTGGGTCTCTGTGAGTCTCTGTGGGTCTCTATTGGTCTCTGTGGGTCTCTGTGGGTCTCTGTGGGTGTCTGTGGGTGTCTGTGGGTGTATGTGAGTGTCTGTGGGTCTCTGTGGGTCTCTGTGAGTCTCTGTGGGTCTCTGTGGGTCTCTGTGGGTCTCTGTGAGTCTCTGTGGGTCTCTGTGGGTCTCTGTGAGTCTCTGTGGGTCTCTATTGGTCTCTGTGGGTCTCTGTGGGTGTCTGTGGGTGTCTGTGGGTGTCTGTGGGTGTGGGTCTCTATTGGTCTCTGTGAGTGTGGGTCTCTATTGGTCTCTGTGGGTCTCTGTGTGTCTCTGTGGGTCTCTGTGGGTCTCTGTGGGTCTCTGTGAGTGTGGGTCTCTATTGGTCTCTGTGAGTGTGGGTCTCTATTGGTCTCTGTGGGTCTCTGTGGGTCTCTGTGAGTGTGGGTCTCTATTGGTCTCTGTGAGTCTCTGTGAGTCTCTATTGGTCTCTATGGGTCTCTGTGGGTGTCTGTGGGTCTCTGTGGGTCTCTGTGAGTGTCTGTGGGTTTCTGTGGGTTTCTATGGGTCTCTGTGAGTCTTTGTGGGTCTCTGTGAGTGTCTGTGGGTCTCTGTGAGTCTCTGTGTGTCTCTGTGGGTCTCTGTGGGTGTCTGTGGGTCTCTGTGAGTGTGGTCTCTATTGGTCTCTGTGAGTCTCTGTGGGTCTCTGTGGGTCTCTATGGGTCTCTGTGAGTGTCTGTGGGTTTCTGTGGGTTTCTATGGGTCTCTGTGAGTCTCTGTGGGTCTCTGTGAGTGTCTGTGGGTCTCTGTGAGTCTCTGTGTGTCTCTATGGGTCTCTGTGGGTCTCTATTGGTCTCTATGGGTCTTTGTGGGTGTCTGTGGGTCTCTGTGGGTCGCTATGAGTGTGGGTCTCTATTGGTCTCTGTATGTCTCTGTGGGTCTCTGTGGGTCTCTGTGGGTCTCTGTGGGTCTCTGTGAGTGTCTGTGGGTCTCTGTGAGTCTCTGTGTGTCTCTGTGGGTCTCTGTGGGTCTCTATTGGTCTCTGTGAGTCTCTGTGGGTGTCTGTGGGTCTCTGTGGGTCTCTATGAGTGTGGGTCTCTATTGGTCTCTGTGGGTGTCTGTGGGTCTCTGTGGGTCTCTATGAGTGTGGGTCTCTATTGGTCTCTGTGGGTGTCTGTGGGTGTCTATGGGTCTCTGTGGGTGTCTGTGAGTGTGGGTCTCTGTGGGTCTCTGTGGGTCTCTATGAGTGTGGGTCTCTATGGGTATCTGTGGGTCTCTATGAGTGTGGGTCTCTATGGGTGTCTGTGGGTCTCTATGAGTGTGGGTCTCTATGGGTCTCTGTGGGTCTCTGTGGGTCTCTATGAGTGTGGGTGTCTGTGAGTGTCTGTGTGGGTCTCTGTGGGTCTTTGTGGGTCTCTATGAGTGTGGGTCTCTATGGGTCTCTGTGGATCTCTGCGGGTCTGATACAAGAGCGACTTACTCACTCACAGTGACTCACTCACAGTGACTCACTCACAGTGACTCACTCAAAGTGACTCACTCAGAGTGACTCACTCAGAGTGACTCACTCACAGTGACTCACTCACAGTGACTCACTCACAGTGACTCACTCACAGTGACTCACTCACAGTGACTCACTCAAAGTGACTCATTCACAGTGACTCACTCACAGTGACTCAATCATAGTGACTCACTCACAGTGACTCACTCACAGTGACTCACTCACAGTGACTCACTCACAGTAACTCACTCACAGTGACACACTCACAGTGACTCACTCACAGTGACTCATTCACAGTGACTCACAGTGACTCATTCACAGTGACTCACAGTGACTCATTCACTCATTCACAGTGACTCATTCACAGTAACTCACTCACAGTGACTCATTCACAGTGGCTCACTCACAGTGACTCATTCACAGTGACTCACTCACAGTGACTCACTCACAGTGACTCATTCACAGTGACTCACTTACAGTGACTTACTCACAGTGACTCACTCACAGTGACTCACTCACAGTGACTCACTCACTCACTCACAGTGACTCACTCACAGTGACTCACAGTGACTCACTCACAGTGACTCACTCACAGTGACTCACTCACAGTGACTCACTCACAGTGACTCACTCACAGTGACTCACTCACAGTGACTCACTCAAAGTGACTCATTCACAGTGACTCACTCACAGTGACTCAATCATAGTGACTCACTCACAGTGACTCACTCACAGTGACTCACTCACAGTGACTCACTCACAGTAACTCACTCACAGTGACACACTCACAGTGACTCATTCACAGTGACTCATTCACAGTGACTCACAGTGACTCATTCACAGTGACTCACAGTGACTCATTCACTCATTCACAGTGACTCATTCACAGTAACTCACTCACAGTGACTCATTCACAGTGGCTCACTCACAGTGACTCATTCACAGTGACTCACTCACAGTGACTCACTCACAGTGACTCACTCACAGTGACTCACTCACAGTGACTCACTCAAAGTGACTCATTCACAGTGACTCACTTACAGTGACTTACTCACAGTGACTCACTCACAGTGACTCACTCACAGTGACTCACTCACTCACTCACAGTGACTCACTCACAGTGACTCACAGTGACTCACTCACAGTGACTCACTCACAGTGACTCACTCACAGTGACTCACTCACAGTGACTCACTCACAGTGACTCACTCACAGTGACTCACTCAGAGTGACTCACTCACAGTGACTCACTCACAGTGACTCACTCACAGTGACTCAGAGTGACTCACTCACAGTGACTCACAGTGACTCACTCAGAGTGACTCACTCACAATGACTCACTCACAGTGACTCATTCACTCACTCAGAGTGACTCACTCACAGTGACTCACTCACAGTGACTCACTCACAGTGACTCAGAGTGACTCACTCACAGTGACTCACAGTGACTCACTCAGAGTGACTCACTCACAGTGACTCACTCACAGTGACTCATTCACTCACTCACAGTGACTCACTCTCATAGTGACTCACTCACAGTGACTCAGAGTGACTCACTCACAGTGACTCACTCACAATGACTCACTCACAGTGACTCACTCACAATGACTCACTCAGAGTGACTCACTCACAGTGACTCATTCACAGTGACTCACTCACAGTGACTCAGAGTGACTCACTCACAGTGACTCACAGTGACTCACTCAGAGTGACTCACTCACAGTGACTCACTCACAGTGACTCATTCACTCACTCACAGTGACTCACTCTCATAGTGACTCACTCACAGTGACTCAGAGTGACTCACTCACAGTGACTCACTCACAATGACTCACTCACAGTGACTCACTCACAATGACTCACTCAGAGTGACTCACTCACAGTGACTCATTCACAGTGACTCACTCACAGTGACTCAGAGTGACTCACTCACAGTGACTCACAGTGACTCACTCAGAGTGACTCACTCACAGTGACTCACTCACAGTGACTCGTCCATCCACCACCACTGCCCTCACCTTCACTTTGCTCCTTAGCGGTTTCTGCAGTGGCTGGGTAGGCCGAGGTGGTGGAGCTGCTGCTGCTGGTGGAGCTGCTGGTGGTGGAGCTGGGCGTGGTGGTGGAGCTGCTGCTGGTGGAGGAGGTGGAGGAGGTGGAGGAGGTGGATGATAGCGATGAGGACTCTCCGGGTCCTGGGCTGGACGGAGCGCTGCTCTGGCTGGGCTGACGTCTCGGGCGTTTTGTGGACTCCTCCTCCAGACGCAGGCCTAGACACACACACAGACACAGTCACACACACAGTCACACACAGTGTACACACAGTCACAGTGTACACACAGTCACACACACACACACAGTCACACACACACACACAGACACAGTCACACACAGTCACACAGTGTACACACACACACAGATACACACATACACAGACACACACAGACACACACACGCAGACACAGTCACACACACACACAGACACAGTCACACACAGTCACACACAGTGTACACACAGTCACAGTGTACACACAGTCACACACACACACACAGTCACACACACACACAGACACAGTCACACACAGTCACACACAGTGTACACACAGTCACAGTGTACACACAGTCACACACA